AAAAAAAATAAAGAGAGGTCAGTTGTTCCTTTGGTCGCGAAGACGATAGAGCGAGGGAAACGAATTCGAACAGCCTACGGCGGCTGTGTAGAGTCGATAGAGGAGCTGTCCAGGCACTCGAGGCCTGACAGAGAGGGATCGGCAGACGACTGCCGGGCGCGATTAGAGTGGAACTGATTGATTGCTCATTCATGCCGATTCGGCTACATTTTATACTCCTTAGCTAGGCCAGCTTTCTGAGTCATATTAGTAATCCTAGCAGTGCTGAGTCAGCTTCTGACTCAGCCGAGTCATGATTTGTCATGTGCTGACTAAGATTGGGCACCGCTTAGTAATCCCTTTCCTAATATGGTCAAACTTTCCTGGGCCCATTTAAGGTACATGCTTGGTCTATTCTACTTAGATTCTATACTACTACATAACAGAGAGGCTGCAGAATGAATAAAAAATGGAGGTTTTCGAGCAGTTCCGCACCTATTCACTTTAGGGGCGGGACACCGTGACGGCTATTGGCAACCCGCGAGGGCAAACGGGCTGTGGGCATTGACGAACCTGTGAGCGCTGTCCCACCCCTAAAGTGATTAGGTGCGAGATGCATAGAATGCATGCCGGAAACATGAATGTAGTCTATGGGTAGCCACTCACAATTACTATAGAGTACAACTTGCATGACTTCAATCATAGTAGCCAATCCTTAGTTATGCTAGTTTCTTTCCCAGTACTCAGAAACAACTCACATTAGTATTGAAATATTTTTGGGTAGTATAATAGTTTTATTTATGTACACATTTGACTGTTCACTACACTATCATGATCACATATTATGGACCGGACGGTCAGAGTAGTCTAGATACACCTCAGAAAAGGGGAATATGTGGGTACTCAGACATGTTGCTATGGTATCACAGGGCTGTGTTGCAAGGCTGTGCAGGTTAGTAAGCTTACTGCGGATATTAGTAAGCATGCTGTGGCGCAGCAGGTGCTTAGTAAGCCTGTGATCTGATTGGATGGAGTGGTATTGGCCAAATTAGCATAAAAGGAGGGCATATGAGCCCTTTGAAGCAATCAATTCACTTTCACCCAGAATCAACGATCGATCACAGGAGACTGTAGATCAGTCTCTATTAGTATTAAGCAGCAAGAGCAAGATTAAGAAAACATTTGAGTGTTGACTTAGGCAATAGATCTAAGTATCACTCCAGGACATACGATATAGGAAATAGGATACGTTGAAGCAACAAGATGCTTCCAGAAGATAGAGTGACAAGACGCTCCCAGAAGACTGACAACATATTCAGTGACTTCCCCATAAGCGTGGGAACAGATGTCAAGTACAGACAAAAGGACAGAGTGTAGTTCTCTGTTTATGTGAATACATTCAAGCGGCCCATTTCTTTCTCCTGATTCAACTAGGTCATCCCTGACTTAGATAGACCGGGACCCTAGGCAACTGTGTGACTATATACTAGCACTACAGTTTGCGTGACAGTGCATGGCACGCAGACATCGTACTTGAAGTCTTCGTCGCAGAACACACGGACCATGAGCGCGCTTGGGCCTGAGCGCAGTAATTCGTCGGCAGTGAGCGATGCGCGCACGATCTGCTTTCCCACAATTCTGAGGAATCAGTTGACAACAGGGCTAGTGCCTTGCAGCCCACTGGACCTGGCGAGCGCCAGTCATGTGCAGTCTGTTCCACTGCAGAAGGAGACACGATGCCGGGCGAGGGCGGGCGCGAGACAAAGATTGGAGCGATCGTTAGAGATGATTTGCGAAAGGGGTCTGGACATGGATCGGGGAGGGCGATAGCAAATGCAGGGAACTCGAGGCGACATTGACACGCCCCGTTATATGCGCAGATCTGGACAAGGTGGCATGTTCATGATTCCCACACTGCCGTGAATTCACCGGGATCCGGTGGATACGGGCTAGACAGTGGCATTGATGTTCCTGCTTGTGTGGGGGCTGTGTCGCAGACCGAGGACATGCGGCAGATGATAGACTGATTTCTTGGTTTCTGAGCACGTTTGATGCGGATGCCTCGACATCACAGTGCTAATAGGGAACCACATCGAAGGCTCAAATGAGCCAGAAAAAATGAAGCGCCCACCAGACTTCCACCAGGATACACAGCTAGCTCAACATCCCATTCATACATATGAACTGCTTGCTACCACCAGTTAATGAACAGAAGGGCAGATGTGGCCGTGCATGCTCTCGTTGATCTAGAGTACGTGCCCGATTTCTTCGCGCGTAAAAGTTCGAGAAGTGTTTCGCTGATATGAGCCTTCCGGAAACATGACGCCGTAACAAGACTCAAGCATAATGCATAAACACCGAAGTCATATTTTTATAGACATGCAAGGCGGTGCCGTTATGCGCAGGGCGGTGACAGATACCCAGTGTGCGGTCGCTAGCATTGCACATCCTCTTGATGATTCGTTCATTCCGTCCAACCAGAGGGAATCAAAAGGCTACATGCGGATGTTCGGTAGCGTTGCAGCTCCGGAATATCGAGTCCGGCGTCGTCGGTCGTCGAGAGCAACATGGGATCAATGGCAGTGCAGCACTGACCAACGTAGTTGACACTGACCTCGCTGTCAGCCCTGAACCGTCCTGAACTGCGGTGCTCGGCTGCGCCACTGCCGGCCGCTCACACCGTCATCGTCTGCGACGTCCACCTCGACCTCGTTATATATCCTCTCGACCTCCAGCCGGCATGGACCCGTCACCGACCGCTCTCTTCGACTCGTACGAGTCCGACTTCCAACAGATTGTGTCGAGCATCCGCGACAAGCTCGCGAACGATGCCAACGCCGGCGGGGAGAGCGGCAAGGCCGCGCTGCGGAGGGTCGAGATGGAGCTCGACGAGGCGGACGAGATGGTGTCCCAGATGGAGATAGAGATACAGGGTATACCGCAGAGCATCCGCCCGTCCTACCAGACCCGCGTCCGCACGTCGAAGCAGACGCTTGCTACGCTCAAGAAGCAGGCCAAGGACGCGCATGTCTCTCTGGGAAGGAGCGAGCTAATCGGGAGCCGGGGTGGAGGCGTCAGTTATTCGCTTTCTATGCAATGAACCCGGCGCCATTGACACCGTTCTAATAGCCCACTTCCGACGATCCGTACGCGCCTACTTCTGACAGGTCCCGGTTACTGGCCGGTACGTCGCTGTTGGAGGATGGCTCGAGGAGGTTGCAGGAATCTCAACGGTATGTCATACTGGATCCCGTCCCACAGTCACTTCCCCCAACATTAACTCCTATGCTCCCCTATTAGCATCGCCCTTGAAACGGAGGAGACAGGCGCCGATATCCTCCGCAACCTCCGCATCCAGCGAGAACAGATCGAGAACTCGCGCAACACGGTGAGGCACACATCGTTGCGACGCCGTTGTCCACAGAATATTGACAACTGGCCTTGTTCCTCAGCTTCAAGCGGCCGACTCGTCAATAGACCGCGCAAGTGGCACGCTGAAGAAGATGATCAGGCGGTACGTCCTTACCTTCCACAGTTCATTCTCGAGCACATACACGAGGCTGACGAAGTTGGTTCTGATTCTTTCCCTCTCCAATTTACATCCTGTCGCTTGCTAGGATGTACCAACAACGCTTCATCACCGCGGGTATCATCGCCGTCTTGATCATCCTCATCTGCATCATTGTATACGAGAAGGTCTTTGCGTAGTCCATCTGTACTCGTCGCGGATGATTCGGCTGGACAATTTGGGGGAGATATACGCGGGCTTGCTTATTTGTGTTCTACGGACCCTGTATCGATATGATAATAATCATCTGTTTTCTGGAGTACTGCAAATGTGGCCGAACGTCGAGCGTTGTATGTAAAGTGCACATCTCGCGCTGAGCCTGTGTGCGCGCGTTTCATCTTGCTCTCGACGTCAACCCTGCGCCCAATAGTCTGCCACTCTCAGCCGAACCTGCACTCGTGGCTCGCTTCGATGTACGGCTGTTCTGACGATGTGCACGTTCCGAACGTCTTGTTTGTCACACTTCAAGACACGCGCAGTTGCCTTGCATCCGGTCGGTCCCGTCTCGACTAGTCGGGGGGTTCAAGATAGGAGACCTGAGCCCTCGGCTTGATATCGGGCTCCCCTGGTTCCAAACCCGCATTGTGTTCATCTCATGGGCTGAACGTCGAGGCATACACGATGGAAATCTGAAAGATGCATGAGTCGCGGGACGGCGTTGGGAGAATTCGTAGGGGAAATGGCAGGAGAACGAGTCGCTTTCACGGTCACGCTGGTATGCTCCTGGTCTGCCTAGGGAGGGGGAAATGGTGTCCCTGATCTACCTGCGGCAGGTATAAGTCTTGAAGTCCGCGAATAATGTTATCGCTGAACGCGCTGTATCCAGTGGTTTCTATGATGAAATCCTTCCGGTTACTATGGCATGAGATTGAAAGCGCGAGGATGAGGTTAGCACAATCAATATCACTAAGCCTGACGCCGTTTATGCCTTTCATGGTCAACGAATCCCTTGTGACAAGTCAAGATGCATGTTTGAATAACTTCTACAGATACAGCGATAACAAAATGCGACGTATTGATACAATGGATTAATCCGTGGTCGACATTCCACCCAGGGAAGTCACCGAAAGCTGTTCGAAAATGGATGGGGCGAGGGTCGCCTCAGGCGCCCATTCAAAGCTAGTGTACGTGGTCGACATGGTCCCTATGCTCAGCACAGACGAGCCCTCGAATTCGGCCGGGATGATGTCCCGGGAAAATGTGGTTGGCGCCGACGTGAATGTGACATCGGACGTCGACATTGTGCCAATGGTTGACACCGACGAGTCGTCGAAGGCGGACGTCATTGTCGGCGCGGCTGATGGTTGCTCAAACGCCAGCGAAGGGAGGAGAGTCGTATCGTCGTTGTCGGAGTTCGGATGAGAGGCGACTTTGAAGAGCTGAGCAGGGTTGGTGGGACGCGGCGCGGCAGCGATGGCGTCCGTGGTCGACATGCCACCCATGCCGACGACGGTCATGTCTTCGAATGCGGCGGGGATGGGACCGCTCGTCGACTTGGGCGGCGCGGAACTGCGTTCGTATGATTCGTCCGGACTGGCGGGGCTGGTTTGGATGGTGTAGCTGCCTTCCTCGGTAGTGGTGGTGGCCGCGTCGGTGAAGACGGTGGTGGGAAGCACGGATGTCGAAGTCGAGGCGGTCAACGCCAAGCCGTTCGAGGTGATGGTAGACGCGTCTGCAGAGTTCGGTGTGATGGGTGCGGCTAGCGCAGAGCCAATGGCGATGGTGGTGAAGAAAAGCGAGGAGCGCGAGAAGACCATCGTGGAGTTGGATAGCGTTGTGGAAGATCGCAGGAATAGTGTGGGTATTTGTGGGGGGAGAGAAGGTAGCAGTTCGAGCTTGCTTCATCCTCTCGAACTGATCAGCTCTTTATAGAGATTGACCAAAGTGGATCGGTCTGCTAGTCATCCGCTATCCGCCACGTATCCGCGCTTCACCCGCCGCTTCCGCCACTCCCTCCGCCCCCTCCCGCCAGCGTCCAACTCCGGTATAACGTCACACTTAAAACCCGCCGATCATCCCGTGCTTTGTCTTCGCAAACAGGGGATTCTTTGGTCGCGTTGCCCCTTAGCGGAACGACGTACCCTCACACTTTCCCCGTCATACCGAGGTTATGGCGTCAAGCCGCATCTACATGTCCCGTCGCAAGATCCGAACCATGCTTTCGTCACCGACTGCGAATTCTCTCGTAATAAGCAATCGTCAGTGAACTCCACGTCAGACTGACTCGGATATGTTTCGCGGAGGTTTGAGCCTTCAGCTCCGCCCCTTCGATGGTACAACGAATCACCCTCCTGTGCTAAGTGTCGAACGGAGGCGGAACCCTGGTTATACGGCCGTCCGGTGGTCTATGACGGTATTTTTGTATCATATCTCATAGGAAGCCAAAACAGATGGCATTGATGTTATTACATTACAAGCTCTATGATTAACATTCAGTCGGCCGTGGTGTACGCGTCAAGTCTGCTGCAATGATCGCGTCAAATCGGCTGCGGCGCACCCACCGAGCACGGGGCACCGGGGCGGCGACGAGCGGCGCACGAACAAAGCAGGTCGGGGGCGCCAAGAGCGGCGTGCGAGAGACCGGGCATCACCCAACACCGGGAGCGGGGCAGCCTCGAGCACGGCAGCCGGGCAGACGGCGGCGGGGCGGACCCGAGCACGGCAGCGGAGCGGAGCCCAGCGAAGGAGGCGGGGCGGGGACCAGCACGGGAGACAGGCGGGTTCAACCACAAGTTGAGCACGGTCCGTAGGTGTCGAGTACATCATGGAAGGCGAGTCGAGGTGCGCCGGGTGGGGGATGGCAAATGCGCCGTGCCCGGATCATTGATGGTGCAAGCTTGCACAAGGATCTTTGAGTGCATGCGCCAGCGCCGGGGTGATCGAGTGTGCAGGCCAGCGGCGAAGTTGCGCCAGCCATCGAATGCGGTGTGTTGGTGCAGCCGGGAGCGGAAGCGTTGGCAAGATGGTGGCAGGCGCGTTGGCGCAGTCCGGCGGGGCGGGGTTGATGCAGTCCGGGGCGAGCGCGTTGGTGCAGCGAACATCGGGCGCATTGGCGCAGCGAAGGTGGGCGCGTTGACGCAGGCGAAGGCGGACGCGTTGGCCATCGAGTGCTGCGGATCGGCGCAGTTGGTATATTGCCGACGAGGTCCCGGTAGCGGAACAGCCGGTTGCTGCGCTGCACGTACGCCACTCGTGCAGTCGACAGCGTGCCAAGCAGCTCGACGGTTTTCGTGAGCTGATGAAGCCGACCGCACTGTCTCACCACCGGCACAAAAAAAGTCCTAGGTACATGTGTACATACGGTGCTATGTAATGTATGCTAGGCAAGCCGTCTTCAGCTTACTGGTGGAAGTCCGGCTCCTCGTCAGTGCATTAAAAACCCCGACCACCCCGCAAAACCACTTGGGAAAAAAGCGGGGTGGGGGGAAAAGCATCCTCGAAGGAAACACAGGCCTACATCGACAGTCAAGCGCAATGGGCAAGGTAAGGCGTTTCTAATGCATTGTACGATAGCCGGTGTAGCCAGAGTTGTACAGCGGCGACGAACTAGACGACGGACAAGTCATGAGATCGTCCGTAGTGGCTATAGTAGAGTGTAGCGAAGAGTAATAGTTATTCCTCCGCTTTGGCAATGGGGTCGACCTCATCGTCGCTGGAACCCTCGCCTTCTCGAACCTCGAAGTCGCCGTGTAAGGTCCCCACGGTAGGGGGAGGCGGGACTGAGTGCGTAATATGCGCAGGGTAAAAGGGTGGAGCGGCATCGAATATCCGCAAAGCGTTCCGCAGGAATTGACCGACGTAGTCCACGCACGCCTGGTCAGCGGTCGCCCACATGAGGAAGTCGCCAGGCTCCCGAAGCCGGGCGTTCAGGGATGGGCGAATCGTGCATATTGTGGCGAGGAACGAGATCCGTAGATCGCAGAGTTCAGGGGATGCATCACATTGCAAGAGATGACCCGAATCCTCTATAGCGGCCTCGCAGAATCGGCAGAGTCGTCATTCCCTGGGGACTTTCGGGTGATACCTTTCTGCCCAGCGCAGACGCTCAATGGCCAAGGAGTGGTCGGACACGAGCATCCTCGTGGTAGCTATACGATGCGTTGCGACGGTGATGGTCAGATATCTGCGGAAGCATCGCACAGGGCGCGTTACCTCGCCTTTCTTGCCGATATGTACATGATCCCTGAGCATAATGAGCTTGGGGGAATCGTTGATACGCTGGACAAGCCAGATGTCGACGGCCGCAGTCACGGTTTTGATGAGCTCATCCACCTGCAGGGGGTCCATGAGGCATGCAACGGGTGGGGCGCAAGCGTCAGGCATGCCGGGTAACGCCGCTAGAACGATACGAATGTCCGATATCCAGCATTGGACGTTGGCGTTGGCAAGCTCGAAGGATTTGTATAACGCCAAAGATGCGTAGCGACCGCGAGGAATGGTGAGGAGGTGGACGAGGTAACGGAGCGCAAGGATAACTCGGCGGTGACGTAGCGGCATCAGGCCAGTCTCCGTGAAGAGCACTGCTGTGTGTGATCGTGACGAGAGGCCGAGCGCGCGACGAACGAACTTGAATTGTACGCTTTCCAGTCGCCTCAGCAGGACAGGGTCTATGTCAAGGGCAATCTCGCAGGCGTGCACTAAGTTAGGGTCGACTCTTGCCATATACAGCTTGAACGCGTCGGCGGGGCGCAAGTCACCAATTTTGGAGCGGATGGCAAAGTCGTGTTGGCAACGGTATGTGCGTCGGAGCGCTTGCGCACGTAATGCTGTTGGACACGTACCTCACCTCACCTTACCGCACCCTGCGGCAGCACTAATGACCTCGCATCCTGAACATGGCGCACAATCAGACTCTATGTGCGCCATGCATGGCTACCTAAACTGCCATCAGCATGCTTTTTTTGGCTTAAGGCGACCTGTTCAGCATATATATCGAGCCTGACCAACAGCCGGAGATGCCAAGCGGGTATCTATACAAAAAACAAGCACAGTACGTCTTGTCCTCTCCTCGCGTTTCAATAGCGCGATGTAACAGTTCGTAGTTTCCCTGCACATGGACACCAACACCGTCATCAATATCAGAGTAAAGCGTCGAGCATGGCTCGCTGCCACGGATGCGTCTATCGCTGCCGCTCGGCGAATGCTCGTTTCCGCCTCACCACACTTGCTGGAGAGTCAGGCCACACAATTCAATTTAGCAACACAGCTCTGTCTGCGGTATGAAGAAGCTGGCGGGGAGGAAATGCTAGACGAATCCATCCGCCTATATCGCTCATTACTCGCCAACGACGAGCTCGATGCGGAACGGAAGGCGATGACGATTGAAGACCTTGCTTATGCCCTAAGCCTCCATTATTTTAGAACCAATGATACCGACACAATTTTAGAAGCCCTTGATCTTTCGCAGGTTGCGATGACAGCTAGAAAAGCTCTAGGGTACGGTCTAGCATCGGCCGCGGTTGTCCGGGTCACGACAATGGCGCTTTACTGGCAAATGTTTCCAGGGAACGACAATGACGGAACAGTCGAAGAAACGACACTGTGTATTTCCGCTATTCAGGATAGATTAACCAGCTCGGACGACGCAACTGTTCTAGAGAGAGCAAAGGCTCTCCATGCTCTCGTGCGTCGCCGCGTTGTTCGGATATTGGTGGACAGAGATATTCATGCTGTGGACAATGTCATTGCTCACGCTCGCGAGGCCTGTGGTGCGTGCGCAACTACAGATATATTGCGGCACCGGTTCGTTGCCAGTCTTGGTTCAGCACTTTGGCTTCGATATGCCCATTTCCACACCGCTTGCGATGACCGGGACGAATCCATCAACTACTATCGGCAGGCCATGGAACAGATTACCGAAGTGGTTCCTCCGAACTTGACTCGTAGGGCCCTAGCTATCGTGCTGCTGAGGCGTTTCGAAAACACAGGGCTTATGGAGGACCTGGACGAGGTCATTCTAATGCTGCGGGCTGGGATTTGTGTAGGTTCGCCCAATTTCGGACAGGAATGGTATACGCGACTTGGATTGTGCATAGCGTTACTCAGAAGGTTCGAGCGATTGGGTGCCCAAGCGGATTATGACGAGGCGTCATCTCACGCTAGAATATGCTACACTACGAGCAAGTCTCTGGAACAGCGGCGTCTTGGTCTCAGCTGGGTTTGCGTGCTTCTGGCTGCAGAGATCGAGAGGCAGCGATGGTTAGGATACCCTTGTAGCGAGCCACTCCTCCTCAAAGCCTGCAGTGCGAGCCGCGATTACCTGGCATTATGCCCTCCGGGAACTCCTATACGATACGAGGCCCTTTGCTACATCGGATATTCCCTGCAAAAGCTTGGCGCTTTTCGAGGGTCGATCTCCGACCTCGAAGAGGCTGCGGATCACTGTCGAGAAGCATTGCATCTATGCCCTCCTGGACATGGGGAGCAGAGAGATACACATACCATCCTAGCGGACATACTGCAGTCTTCCTCGATTTTGACCGGCGACCACACACTTGTCGACGAGGCTATTGAGCATCGCAGCATCGCCTTGAAACGTGCGCCAATCGTTGAGCCGTTATACGGCACGGTGTCCTCCGGCCTTGCCGAGGATTTGTATGCCCGTTTCCAGATTACACAGAACAAGGGTGATTATGCAGAATGCATGCAGGCTTGGGTGGGCGCCGTGGATCATCCATACTCCTCCATATTCCATCGGCTTAGCTTCAACAAGCGATACATTGCAGTGGCAAAGGAGATGAACGATGCAGCCTCTATCTCTGCAGGTCACGAAAGGGCGATGTCATTTCTCCCTCTGGTGGCTTCCCGCGGGATGGATGCGAGAGCTCGACTCAAGGCTCTCAAAGGCGCCCAAGGGTTCGCTTTAGAAGCCGCGGCGCACGCGATGTCCATTCAGCAGCCACGGACCGCGATAGAATTGTTGGAACACGGACGTGCAATCCTTTGGAACGGTCTTTTGCAGTTACGCAGTCCTTTCGAGGGTCTCCCGGCGGGACTGTCAGACCGTTTGCGCGAGGTATCCTCAAGCCTAGACGCAGCGGGGTTAGATTTGTCGCACACTACAAGCGAGATCGAAGCATCACGACGACGCAGGTTGGTCGACGAGTTCGAAGAGCTTATACAACAGTCTCGTCGCATTCCAGGCTTCGAGCGCTTCCTTGTTCCCCCAGGATTCGCGGAACTGCGTCAGGCGGCATCAAAAGGCCCAGTGGTGTTGCTGATGGCCACAGATGCTCTGGCGTACGGCATCGTAATGCCGTCGGCGGCCGCCGAGCCATACGTCGTGCCGTTACCCCAGGTTGGCGTTCTTCGCATATCAAGATGGTCGGAGGCACTCTCGCATGCTCAACGAGCTGCGCGAAGTCGCCAGAGCTTAGGGGAAATGGCTATTCTGGCCGGAAATGGCGCTGAGACGAATCGTTATATAGTCAAGATCAAGCCAACATACATAGCAAGGACCTCGCACGTACTGCAGGAAGTATGGGAGAATGTCGTGTGCCCGATTCTGACCTCCTTGAACCTTCCAGTAAGTCATTGAAGATCCGCACAAGGTGACTGAATATATCTGAGCTAACGATGATTAGTGCAAGGGGAATGAATCACGTCCTCGTTTGTGGTGGTGCCCGACCGGGAGTTTCGTATTTTTGCCACTGCACGCCGCGGGCATGTCATCGGGGGCATGCACCTCGGACTACGTGGTCTCTTCTTATACCCCATCTCTCGGAGCTCTAGTGGAAGCAAGGAAGCAACGCATCGTCTCTTCGGCAGATGCCCAAGTCTTACTCGTCGCTCAGTCAAATGTATCAGGCAACGCACCTCTGCCGATGGCTGCGGAGGAAATCTCCCAGTTGGCGAGCATGTATCAGTCTGGACGCCTGATATGCATAGATCAGAAGATTCGTGATACACCACCAGGGGAGGTCAAACATCACGACGCTAGCATGGTGGAAAATGTGTGCAAGGCCATGGGCGAATCATCCGTCGTGCACCTCGCTTGCCACGCAAAGCAGGATCGCGGCGACCCTCTCAGCAGCGGATTCGTTCTGGAGGGAGGGGTGCTGACGATAGCCGACATTGCGCGAGCCAGGATGCCCCGGGCGTTCTTCGCCTTCCTTAGCGCATGCGAGTCGGCCGCCGGAGACGAAGGTCTTCCGGACGAGATCGTGCACCTGGCCGGATCGATGCTGTTCGCCGGATTCAAGTCCGTAGTGGGTACCATGTGGTGAGCACATTGCGTCAGTCATGAGGAAACACCGCGACTTAAACCCAGATGCAAAGGGAAATGTACGACCTGGACGGGCCCGCCGTGGCGAAGGAGGTCCACGAAGCGCTGCTGAACGGGGGATACGAGAATCCCGGTCTGATCGCGTACGCGCTCGACTCCGCCGTCAGGAAGTTGCGTGAGGGAGGGATACCTCCGGAGCGATGGGCCACGTATGTCCACATGGGTATTTGATGGGGCCACTGGGCCGACGTTGAGGTCTTTTCTGTTCGTGTTCTGCATCGATTGTCCTACCGTTGCCTTGATTATACTTTTGGCGTTCACTGTTTCGTGGTTCATCGTTGGTGCCGTCTTCGAAACCTGAAAGGCGTACAGCGACAAGGCCAACGACAGATAATCACGCACACATACCATCCCGATTACCCCCTCATCTCGATATATCGTACAAACGTATACACACATACAAATCACACCTTCATCGCCGCCTCGTCCTCGCTGCTGTGGCTCGTCACGCCCTGGACCGCATGCGCCATCTCCCGCTCGACGCGCTCGACATCTTCCCTGCGCTGCTCGGCCGACACCGCGCCGAATATAATGTCCATCTCCTCCAGCGAGCCTAACCACCCGAATTGCAAAAAAAAAAAGCGTCAGCAAGCTGTACAGGAGAGAGAAAAGAGAGGGAGAGGGGGAGGGGGAGGGGGGGGAGGGATAGCGTGGGCTAACGCACGTCCTTTGGTCTCGGGGATGAGGAGCGCAAAGGTGCCCATGCCGGCGATGTTGATGGTGGCGAACATGAGGAAGAGCTTGTAGCCGAGGTTGGTCACCATCGTCGGCGTCACCTTCGACAGCACAAAGTCTTTTTTTTATATATCAGAGGGGAGAACACAAACGAACGATAAGAAACCACCCCCCCCCCCC